ATCTGCCTTAATCTTAGAGAAATATATTTTCCCCAATGGTTTGGGATAGATTCTTGACCTTCGCGTTGTCAAAACACTTTCTAAATCCACACGAAAATTCTATGCATTTTAAACGTATTATTAATTTGTGAATCATTTCAGACTGCCTCATAATGGGAAATGAATCCATTCTTTTGCTTAAGTGCACTCAGCAAATGTTGGGAGGAACAACTAATTTTCCCAAGGCTGACCAAACTGGTTTTGTTTCCCAAACTTTCACTAAGAAGGCAATTTCATTCTGAAATCACCTAGCAACAGAATGTCACTCCTGACACCAATGGGTTTTGAAATGTTGTTCTCATTGTGGTCATGGATCACCCAGGACCATGGGATCCCACCGCTTGCCATCAAATGCAGCATTTGAGAAGGGTGCACCTACCTGCCTTGTTGGAATCCATAACAACCAAATCGGTTACACCAAAAATACACTTTCACTTTGATTGTTGCTATGGTGATCATAAGCTGATCATGTCACTGGAACAACAGTCAAGAGTTTATATGTGTGTTGCCACTTGTTTCAATGAGTTGCTGTCAAGCTGCCTGATTCACAAGCTTAAAAAGAGCCAATGATGAGAGCACATGGGAGCTGCTGTCCAGCAACAACTGGAGGCCTACATATTCCTTCTTCTGCATCTAAAATGAAGAAAGTCTTAATATACTGACATTTGGTGTCAATTTCCACCTTCTACTCTGCAGCATTACTTTACATATTTTTTTTAAGGCTGGAATCCTGCTGATGACATGCACTGGTATAAGTACCCTTATATAATAGTTATGTTGTCTTTGTGTGTCTTCAAGTTGTTTCTGACTTAAGGCAACCCTAAGATGACCCTATCATGAGGTTCTCTTGGCAAGTTTCTTCAGAGAGGGTTTGACATTACCATCCTCTGAGGCTGAGAGAGTGTGACTTGCTCAAAGTCACCCAGTGGTTTTACATGGCCAAGCTGGGACATTACACCATGCTATAACATAGATTGTACTTTTTGGTTTGTGGAACAATGGATATATTCTGTTCCAGGTTATGCAAGAAGGATTCAGCTGATGTAACTGTTGTGCAAGCGACTATGTTTTTAATGTGGTTGTATAAGTGTGTCTCTTAGTGCAAATGGGACATTTACACTGTGTTATCTCTCTATTGAAGCATGTGTCAGCATGGTTCTGGATACAGGTATGAGCATGCAACTGGTGTGTATATGAGCTGTGACGTGTGAGTGACACACAATTCTACCAGGGGAAATTTATATAATCAGTCAATGTGTTCAGTTTTCTTCTTTTTCTTGAGAAAGAATAAAGTTCACGACTGCAATGTATGGGAAGGAGGGCTCCTTCCACACTACAGTCCTGACCAGTATCACCTTGTAGAGTTGTTATTCTTCCACAGGAGAGAGGTTTCCAGTAAGTGCCCATAGCAGAGGGGGATGTATGTGAGACGTAGTATTTTAAAAAATCTCTGCCTTTATTGGTCCCTTTCTTTCTGTGGCTCTTTTGAAAGGAAAAAACAGTCTGAGATGTGCGAACACACATTTCACATATATTTCTGGGATGGTGGGGATGATGGTCAAGCCATAGTAGCCATGTTAGCCTGTTGCAGCAAAAACAATCAAGAATTTAGTGGTACTTCAAAGTTTCAATTGACATAAGCTTTATTTGGCAGAGGTATAAGTTTTCATGGACTGCAGTGAATCAGATGCAAGTACTGTCTACTCTAGTCCCATCCACAGAGCCCCAAAAAGGTGTAATGTGGAGATCCTTGATCAGATCACTTGTTTTTAGGATGTTTTAATTTGTTGTTTTACTTTTAGATTGTACGCCACAGGCAGGCTTTTTATATATTCTGGATTTTATTTGGTTTTGTACAGCGCCGTGTACATCTACGGCGCTTAATAAATAAAGCTAATAATAATAATATAATAATAGATCTTCTGGCTGTATTTTCCTTTAAAGCATCCATTGGAGGGCTCAGATTAAAACCATTCATAGTAGGGCTCATGAAACAGGGACTAACCCTTCTTCTCTTCTCGTTTTCCTAACCCAACAGTTATTAGCCTTGCTTGGGGGAAAATGAAGATATGATGCTATAACTCTGCCTTCCTCAACTTGGAGCCATATGTTTTGAACTACAAACTCCACAAGCTGCCTGGGATGTCAGTTGGCCTACCTGAATGGGGTGATGAGAGTTGTAGTCCAACATGTCTGGATTAATGAAAGGATAGCTCAGGGGAATGACAACTCAGAATTAGAACCCATTTCCACAGCTGCTTTTCAATGCCTTATAAAAAAACAACCGTGGCTCCCTCCCCAAGAAGGAGAATTTTGTCAAGGCACCAACGTTCCTGATCATGTATAGAGAGCCCCCAATGTATTCCCAAGACTTTCTCTCTCTTTCTCTCTGTGTAAATTCAAACGTATATACACTAGTTGGGGGAGGAATTTGTTGTTCTAATGTTCCACTTGCATCTTCATTCATCACTGAACATAACCTTTGTGCAGGGCTTACTGCAATCAGATATTTTGGGATGATTATTGATACGATGGAACCAAGGCTAGACCTGTCATTAGACAGAGTGAAGCAGCTGCCTTAGGGCAACAAAAGGTAAGTTATTTACTTTATTACTACTCCGTTTTTCCTCCCAGGAATGGTTAGTGATATATGCGAGATTTTCTGCTTCAGGTGCCAAAATAATGTAAGTAGTCTTGACTTCTCCGCACCTTGACAGGTTGGCAATCATGGTTCTTTGCCAACAGGTCAAAAACTGTATTGGCCACCCCTGGGGAAGGACATGCTTCTCCTAGTTTTCTGGATATTTTCCACAAAGTCTCCTGTTTTTTTTATCACACAAAGCAGCTGTTGGTAGTAGCTTCAGATAAGAGTGAAAGCTCAATAGAGGGGGTGGGGTAGGGAGAGGACTGTTTAACTCACTTGCTACCAGACGTTTGCCCAAGATCGTCTCCCCTGTTTTTCTCTCCAAGACAAAGATATGGAGACATGTCGTTCCATGCACTGAAGTACACAAAACTTAGGACAAATCAGCCTGAGTCTGTTTTGAGAGATTATGCAAGACCGGCCACTACTGAACCACACCTTTGCTCCACTGAGGCTGGTGTTATCTACCTAAGAAGCAAAACTGTGAAACTGAAAAGCCTACATGAGCAATGCTATTATGAATGACTAGTTTTTGTAACACTCTTTTTAGACAAAACAAAAGCATAAAACAGCTCGGCAAGGTCTTTTCAGAACCTGGAGCTTAGAACAGAAAAATGTATAACGTGAGAGCAGGATTGAGAATACAAAATTACTTCCCAAGGGAATCAGTGGCATTTTCTGACAACTGTTCTCTCTTTCAGCTGCCATTTTCTGTGGATAGGTCCTATATTTGGCCAGGATCATGTGCCTCATTCACAGAGACTTCTATGGATCTGGGTATAAATCCCTCTGTGAGTAAGCTTTGCTGCTATGATCGCTTCACCACTTTTTTTAGAGTCATGTTTACCAGTGGGTACACACACCATAAATGGCAAATGAGTATGCCTTTATTTTTATTTTTACTTTTGTTTTCTCTTGATTTGTAGCTTCATCACAAACGGTATAGGACAAAAGCTGGACCAGTCATGCCTCCATATGGAAGTCAGTGTACTTGCTAGATTGCACTAAAAATAAATTATGTTATTTTAAAATCTACTAATTGGTCTCTATGCCTTTTTCCTGCCTCTAGTTAAGTCCACCAGTAAGGAGTTGCTGCATATGTGTGTAAGCATACCCTCCAACATTTCACAGATAAAAACTGGGACATGTGTGGCCAACCAACATTAGGGGGTAGTCAAGATGGCAAGAGTTATTAATGAGGAAGAACAGATAAGCTAGGAGAGGCTGCAGCAGTTTGCTTTTGCCTAATCCTAGTGGGAAGGCCAAGATTATTTCCTTTCCCCTTTCTTGAGTCAACTGAATGAGAACTACTTTTGCACTCTGAACTCAATTTTCAGCAACTGAAGCTGAGGACAAAGAAGGAAGGTGGGATGAGAAGAGAGAAACTGGGACATTTTAAAAGCAGATTTAAAAGTGGGAAGACAGAGGATTAATTGGTACTGTCCCTGACAAATTGGGACCGTTGAAGGGTATGTGGAAGTGATAGTTGAAGGCAAGGAGGTTTCTCCATAAAGCAGAAATGGGTAAATTGTGGCCTGGGGAATGAATGCTCTGAAGCAAGAACAACCCAAAACATCTACTTAACAACAACAACCACTCTTCCCTTTTTGTTTTCTTGTGCCCTGCCAAAGGACTGTCTAGGAGACTGCAGGGCTCCATGGAGCAGGAAGAAACTCTGGGACTCTCCTGTGCTATCAGAGATTATTGCCCCACTCTTTCCTCCCATGCTAGATGCAGGATGTAAACTTTACTAGGTGGATTTTATCGCACACCTCTGTGCCCAGGCAGGAGGCATCCCATACCCGATCTAGGCATCCCCATAC